ACTTTTTTTAGTGAAATAGAAATAATAACAGTAATGTGAAAACATTAAAAATAATTAAAAAGTAATTTTCACATTATTTTAGAAAAAAATCAAGTTTGAAGAAATGTAAAAAAATTACTTACGTATAATTATATATAAAATTATTATATATAAAATTATGCATAATTATGTGTGAGCAAGTCTTTTTACATTTTTCCAAACTTATCTTTTCTAAAACAATGTGAAAATTATCCTTTTTTTTATGTTTTCACATTACTATTATTATTCGAACACTCGTACACTATAGTGCAGTCGAAGTGCATATATTAGGTGTACAACTTTGCTTCTGCCGTTTTCCTATAGATGACTTTAGTGGTAAGTGGTGGTCGAAATAAATAGATCATAGACGTCAATAAACTTGGGCATCTGTCAACATAACCCCATAGAAACATTAGTCGATTTGTGTCTGCATCATAAAGTTATTCTCGATTGAAAATGTCAGTTTACGAGCCAAATTCTCGTCATTTGCGGGAGGTTTTAATTTTTTGCTTCAATATGAAGAAATTTGCGGCTGAGGCTCATCGAATGCTCTCAAATACTTATGCTGAGGCCGCTATTAGTGAAAGAACGTGTCGTAAGTGGTTTCAATGTTTCAAGAACGGTGATTTTGACGTCGAAGACCGACATAGCGGTGGAAGAGAGAAGGTGCAGAAGATTTTCGAAGATGCAGAATTGGAGGCATTACTTGAGCAAGACTCGTGTCAAAATCAAAAAGAATTGGCACGATCATTGGGAGTGACTCAACAAGCCATTTCAAAACGCCTCAAAGCCATGGGAATGATTCAGAAGCAAGGAAATTGGGTGCCGTACGAATTGAAGCAGAGAGATGTTGAACGGCATTTGTTTGCTTGTGAACAGCTGCTTGAAAGGCAAAGACGGAAGGGATTTCTGCATCGCATTGTGACTGGGAACGAAATATGGGTTCATTACGATAATATTCACGGCTCCAAGGTCATGCTCTGTATTTGGGACCAGCTCGGCGTAGTGTATTATGAAACCGACTGAAAACCGACTGAAACAACCACAGGCGATCGGTATCGAACGCAATTGATGCGTTTGAGCCGAGCATTGAAAGACAAATGGCCGCAATACAACGAGAGACACGATAAAGTGATTTTGCAGCATGACAATGCTCGACCCCATGTTGCGAAAGTGGTCAAGACATACTTGGAAACGTTGAAATGGGAAATCCTACCCCTCTTGCCGTATTCTCCAGACGTTGCTCCCTCTGACTATCACTTGTTTCGATCAATGGCACATGGCCTGGCTGACCAGCACTTCCAGTCTTATGAAGAAGTAAAAAATTGGATCGATTCGTGGATAGCCTCAAAAGATGATCAGTTTTTTCGATGCTGGATTTGTACGCTACCCGAAAGATGGGAGAAAGTAGTGGCCAGCGATGGACAATACTTTGAATCATAAATGTATAACCAGTTTTTTACAATAAAGCCTCGAATTTCGGAAAAAAAACGGCGGAAGCAAAGTTGTACACCTAATATATTTTGATTTATTATATCTATAATTTTTTAAGAATCAATTTGCAAAACTGGCTCTGTACGCGTCTTCACAGCTTCGTAAAAGAAGAAACCGAAGACGTATAGTAATATTTATTATTTCTAGGAGGTAAAATAATAACATGAAGATACAATTTACATCGATCTACAGCGCCTTAGATAAGGAGGCATAACATTTTATTTAATATAAAATGTTCAATTTTAAGAATGAAATTATAAATTTTAAAATAAATAAAATTTCTTTAGCTTAATAGCTCTGTAAAATACAAGCCAAAATGAATTTCATTTCAGGAATTAAAATATCTCTTCTACGAGACAACATGATATGATAGAGTTTGATATACATAGAGTGCAGATCGTGATATATATATATATATATATATATATATATCACAAATGAGGT